GATGAACGTCTGCATAGAAAACCTGCCTAGAATGACTGAGGCCCAAACACAGGAAGCTGCCGTTGCCTGGGACCGCCTCCTGGGTCCCCCTCCAGTGACACTCCCCCACCTCTGGAAGTCAACACTAACCTTTGTTGTTTTATGATAATAATTTCCTTGGATTGCACTATAGTTTTGGCATTCATGAATAAATCTCTGTAAAGCACAGTTTAGCTATGCCTAAAGTACACGGATTCAACTGTTTAGATTCTTTTCCACAAATTTGTTTATACAAAGTATCCACATGGTTATAATTCCCATTCATTCCTTGTCGTTACTGTATAGCATTCCACTGTATGAATATATCACTATACATACATTTTACTGTTAACAGACATTTGGGTTGTCTCTGGCTTGGGACTATTAGGAAATATGCTGCCATGAGCTTTCCCCAAGAGTCAGGTGCTAGATCATAGAGTAACGTGCGTCGTCACACCCACTGTAGTGCCAAACTCGAAATGGACTGTGATTTGCGAAGTGGCACACCGTGTGTGCACTCAGGCAGGTGACGCTTCCGGAGCTCAGGGATGCTCAGCAGTAGATCCAGCCTGCTTACTTTTTGCCAGTCTGACAGCCGTGTAGTAGGATCTCATTCTGTTTTTAAGTCACATTTCCTTGATTACAAGAAGTTTAAACGTATCCACGGAACACCGGGAATTACTCTTCTCCCATTTTTTAAAAATTGTTTTGTCTTTTTCAGAAATGTTTCTACAAGTTGTTTATATGTTCCGGGTATTAGTCTTTTGTTGATTATAGCCATTACAAATAGTTTTCCCAGTCTGTGGATTATTTTTTCTCTCTCTGTAGTGTCTTTTCATAAACAGAAGTAATTAATTTTTATGCAGACAAAATTATCAATATTTTAAATTAAAGTTAGTGATTTTGTGTTTTTTTAGGAAATAGTTTTTCTGATGCTAAAGACAATGCTATTTTCCTATGTTATGTTCTAAAATAGTTACAGTTTTTATGTATTTATGTCTATAATACATCTGGAAGTGATATTTTTGGCTGGGTCCAATTTCATTTTTTTCGATGTGGCTTTGCATATCAGTATTACCTCTCTGGCAACTTTTGTCTCATGCATTTTAAGCCACTGTTATTAATTACAAATTTAGAAATATTACATTATTATATTATCAGATGTTCCTGGTAGGTTTATCCTTTTATCACTATGTAATGCCTCTCTGAGTATCTATTAAGACTTCTTGCCTTCAAGTTTGTTTTGTGAACATCAGCATTTTAAAATTATTTTTCTTGGTGCTTTTCAGGGTTGCTTGTCTGAGCAGGATAAACTTTTAGAGCCTAAAAGACCTTTTTAGAAACAGCTGCATCTACTGAACAACTCACTTTAATTGCATAATTCATTTAAAATACAAAGGGATACTTCATTGAAAAAAATCACCTCAAGATGTTTAACTACTCTCACCTGTAGCCGAATTATTTCTGCTTATGAACAGAGGCACTAAATCATCAACAAAGATCCCCTGCTTGACACTCCTTAGGCTTCTAAAAGCTTTGAATGTGCATGGCAAATTGCATTTATAAAGAAAGCAACAGAAAATAACAATGCTGCACAAACTATTCTGAGCTACACATTCAATCCAAAATAGTCAATGAAAAACAGTCTGCTGCCTGGGTAGAAGGAAAGGCGTCCTACGTAGGTATTCTTTAGCAACACTAATATTCAAGCATTCTACCGAGGTGTTGCCATAGCAACACTAATATTCAGGAGTCTCAAACTTTTATGTGCTCAGGATCATCTAGGACACTAATTATAAGTGTAGATGTCTGGTTCCCACATTGGACATATGTTTGAGAAAGTCTTCAGGTAATTTTGATACACATCAGAGTCTGAAAACCTCTGCCTAATTTAAAGAGGAAGAAAAAGAATGTGGAGTGAGATTATGTCAAAAAGTATTATTTGACATACAAGTGTTTTTTGAGACGATTAAATAGAAATAAAATGGAGAAAGATGAAAACAAGATATAGTTTTATAAAAATACTACAAACTATAGAAATTACATAGTAAAACACATTTCAGATTTTTTTTTAAAATTCCATCAGAAACAATATAATATTATATCTGGTCTTTGGCTGTACTATATTCATGATATAATTTATAAAATTATATCTATAATTCACAAATTTAATTAGAACTTTTTTCAGTATCAAAATGATTGAAATAATATAAAGTTAGGAAGTATTTTAGTGAAAATTACTTTAAAATGCTAAGCAATTTAGAAACAAAAAATAATATAGGCAGAAATATTGTTTCTATTAGTTTATAAGCAAATGATCTTTATCTGCCATGTAAGTAAAAACTAAATGAGTAAAGTGAGATACCTAAAGAAGAAGAAAACATCTGTCTACTTAGCCAACTTCTGAGAAACTAAATAAACTTCCCCGCATAATAAACAGGCCAGTCTCATTCTCCTTCGTTGAACACTTGGTGTGCCCTCATTCTGGAAATAAGTCATTTTACAAAGTACCTGCTACGTTTTTTGCTTCTATCTAGTATTCCATTTCACACTTGAACGGATTTTAAGTTCATTTAGTATGTTAATTTTGTCTTGTAGCTATGTTTTCTTCTATATTTTATATTGTCTTCCAATTCAGAGAATGATTTAAATGTCTTTTTCAGTAGCATGTGTTCTTTAGAAATTTTAGAGTGATATCCTTGTGTAATACAGACAAAACTTACTGTATCTGATGGAGACCTAAAGGTCACGTTACATTTAATTAGTAAAGTTGAAAAAAGGGAGCTCAGTCCTGCTTAACTAGTCTAACAGAGATGATGATGGCATGTAGGTAATTCTAAGTTATTTATTTACCCAAGGATGCCACAAAAGGAAATTTAGCAAATCACCAGTGACATCCCATAAAATTCAAAAATGAATTTTAGGGGCGGCCAGGTGGCTCAGTTGGTTAGAGTGCGAGCTCTGAGCAACAGGGTTGCGGGTTTGATTCCCACATGGACCAGTGAAGCTGTGCCCTTTGCAACTAGACTGAAGACAATAACTTGAGCTGAGCTGCCGCTGAGCTGCCGGTGGGTGGCTGGATGGCTCAGTTGGTTAGAGTGCGTGCTTTTAACAACAAGGTTGCTGGTTCGACTCCTGCATGGGATGGTGGGCTGCGCCCCCTGCAACTAGATTGAAAGTGGCGACTGGACTTGGAGCTGAGCTGCACCTTGCACAACTAAGATTGAAGGGAAACAACTTGACTTGGAGCTGATGGGTCCTGGAAAAAACACACTGTTTGTTCCCCAATAAAATTAAAAAAAAAAAAAATTTTATTTCTCTCCTCTACTCAAATATGTGACTCTTACTGCCACATTACATTCGCACTCTTTCACTTCCTTTTCTGACACTGACCCTCTAGCCCCAGTCCACCAACATCCCCCTGAATCCAATGCTCTCTCCAGCTGTCGCATGGATGGTCCTTGTGAACCCCATAGCGGCAAAGTCCCTCCTCGTCTCACATCACCCAGAAAGCCTGCTGTCCGTTTTCTATCAGTCCTCTGTGACTGCTCCTGTCTCTCCCTTAGTTTGCGTTATATATATAATCTCCTTTCCATTCTCTCCCTGCAGCTCAGCAGTCTCCAGGTCCCTCATGATGCATGGCTACGTCTCCTATGTCTCTAATATCTGTAGGCAGAGTCCATATATTTGAGAGAACAAAACAGTATTTCAAAGGCAGAAAATTGTTTTGAAATTTATATGTAAGTTTTATTATATACTTCCCATGAGGTCTGCTGTCAGGGATAAAATACTTGCTTAATAAACTTGATCAAATAGTACAACCAATAACAGCTTGAATGTTATAACTGCATGATAAAATTAGAAAACCTGATGACTGTTATTATTTGAACATTTATAAATGCAAAAAAAATTTAATGGTAACATTATTTGTACTTCTCAGAGATTCAACCCTATTATTTCACTTGAAAGAGCTATGTTTAACTATTTCAAAATTCTTGGAATTAATAAGATGCAAATATTTTAATTTTTAAATTTACCTTAAGTCTTTATTGAGTGAAAATATAAATGCATTTAGAAGACAGCTAAACTACTAGGTTCTGGTTTCAGTGTTTGGTGTTTCCATGCTTCACCCTTATCTGTGCTTTGGTGATAGACATAATCACAGATGAGCAAAACAGTTACAAAGTTGGCATTTGTAAGTACTCTGTGAAATTTATATTGTATTTCAGTACTGTTTGTCAATTTTCACATCCTTAAACAAAGTGAGAAAAAAATTAAAGCAAAAGCTAACCAAATTAAATAAAGCAAAGTAAAAAAAAATCAGTGCTCTATTATACAAAAAGACTTTCAATCTAATTTAAAACAGTAGAAAGAACAGAAATGACTGAACGAAAATGGTACTATTTATATTTGTGTTAGAAAGTCTTAAGGCTGAAGATTAATTGGCTCACTCAACTCTTGAAAATAGAAAGCAGTGACTGAATCCATGTACGTATCCTGAGCAGCCTACAGAGCTCCCTTCTGGGATAAGGATAAGGATGGCTGAAAGCCAGCTAGCGGCTCAGGTCCCTTAGTGCCGGCACCAAACCACAACTGGTAATAAAACAATTCAAGTACTTAGTAAAAAAAGATACCTAATCTAGACCATCCAAACGTAAACTCCTTAATAATTGATTCTACAAGAAATAGAATTTGGCTGTTTTTAGGGCAGCTTTTGACTCGTGACTATTATTTGTGTTTCCTCCCAGACCACTGCTCAACGCTCCTAACCCCTCTTTACTGGAACAGTAATTCCGAGGCTGAAATGAAACCAGCTATTTTTTTTCTATTTCTTCAGATTCACATAGTCTTTTCAAACACACTACTTCAAATAAACAAAAACATATTTAAATGACTATAAAAATAAGTGACAGGCACTTACTTAGGTATAAGGAAGTGAACGTTCATAAAGAGCAACAGTGAAATCAGAGCTCATTACGTACCACAGCACTCGGGGCATTTCGGATGCTTCAGGGTATTGATTCCATACCCTGGAAAGCAGCGGTTAATCCACACCATTTGGAGGGTCCCTTCAATATAGTAGATTTCAGGCAGTGGCTCTGCACGTCTGCCTAGGACTTCTACTTGCTGATTAAAAAATCTCTCTATGAGGTTTTTAGCCTAAAATAGAAATAAAATACGAAAACAAATTATTATCACAAATAAATGTAATCTTAAGAGTAAATAAGGCTGCTTATGTATTCAGAAGTAGGGAAACCAAGCTCTTGAGGTCCTTACTTTCTCGTGCATTCATAGGATAGAAATAACACATGTAAAAATTAAAAGGTGTCGCCTGGAAACCTCAAATATTTCCAAACGTACTTCCAAATACAGCACAAAGAAACTGGACATATATCCAAATGTTTTGGTCCCTTTGGATTTTGAATGATGGGCATATATAAGCAAAATCAAGACAGCACTATGAAATTAAATGTACTCTAAGAAATGAACTCTAACAGTTAAATGGACTTTAAAAATGTACGTTAGGAATATTTAAAAAGCACATCCTGGGGCATCCGTTCCACTCTTTCCACAAACAAAAATCAGGTTTAAAAATGAAAGGAAATATAGCACATGTTACAACTTCCAGTCTGTGATCCAAAAATTAAATTTACAAAATAATTAAGGCATCATTCTGCTCTATAATTAATTACATTTTTTTGTCTGTAATAATTGTTATGGACTGACTCCTAAAATTAACAACAGGCTTATGCTATTCAGTGACTGATAAGTTTTTTCTGTTCAAGTGTGAGGTATGTTCACGGGTTCAAACCCTGTACAAGCCAGCTCGATCCGCTCAGTCCCATCCTGCCAACCTGCCCCCCTTCTCATCTAGTCAGGGGTGAGGATGAACGGCTCCCGCTGACCTGTACCCACTAATGGGTCCCTTAACTTACTGATTTCCTCAAACATGGTACAAGTTACATGCCTTCCACGACAATTTCTATGATTATGAAAATGTTTTCCAACGTACTACATTCAGGATAGGGGACAGATAAAGCTAGCTAGCTAGATAGATAGATAGATTAGATAGATAGATAGATAGATATAGACAACTCTTATTCAATAAATTACTTAAAAGCTTTGTACAGTTTAAATGGTTTTCTTATGCTTTTGATAAATTCTGGTAAATTTGTTTTTATTAACTTGGTCAAACATATAAATTTTATTTAAGAAAGTGCTTAAGAATTAATTACATACAAATCTGGTATCTAATCAAATAAATATATTTAGGTGCCAAACTACAATTAAAAGTTTCAGGAGACACAACCATAATCACTTAGCTTCCTAACACTCTGTCCAAAAAAAAACCAACCTCTATGAGGGGAAATCTGATAGAACAAAAATGATCTTATAAATCAGATTCCTGTGTTTCCTATTTTCCCAGGATATATCTTTTATGTGATACAAATGGAAAGAAGGTAAGAAATTGTTTGATTAACTGAATGTTTTATGAGTATGTTGATGGTTGACATAGAGTTAATTATCTGTGCCAAACAAAGGGTAAAATTGAAGAACTATTTGAGCTATGTAAGGATTACAGACACAAACGTTTTGGACCAGTTTGGATGATATAAGAACAAATCATAATTATAGAAACTCTCCGTTAATCAATCATCTGGTTTAAGATACAGAGACTTACTATGATGAATAAACATCAGGCTGCCCCACCCACACTAGTGCTCCCTTCACATCTTCTCCCCTCAAACTCCCCCCCCCCAAAAAAAACAAAAACATTGCAGAACGATTAAGGCTATATGGAGGAAAAGTGTTATGCAATGATTGCTCATTGACTACAGGACTGGAAGGAGAAAATATTACCATTCCAACAGTGATCAGTATGTAAAATGCACGACGTTTTCATGGAAAAATTGAACAGCTTGTTTTAAATACCACAATCTGCTCCACTGTCCACGCCAAGATAGGTGGTAAAAAACAGGCAACTAGAAAGACGTTAGTATTTGCTCTACGTCAGTCCAGATGGCAACAACTCCTTAAAATTATGGGAGTTCTAGAATACACAATAAATATCATACATTATAGTGTAACTGAAGCTCCACTATCCACTAGGGGAGGACTAATGCCTCCCAGTCATTACAGGTATTACGTTTGTAGGATAGAGCCCTTTGGAAACCTTTGGTTAACTTGTGTATTTGGGAATCTCTGTGGAAAATTACTATAGTCATTAAATGGGGTAGAATTAGGAAACAAAAATATGCAATGGAGATTGAAGGCATCTTGAAGGAAATGAAAAGAATTGTAAATTTGCACAGAAAAGGCTCGTGATCTCGGTGTTCTGGGAGCAAATAAGAGAGAGAAGGTGTTCAGATCTTGTAGGAGAATGTTCCAATGGAGAACTGTAGAAAAAAGTGACTAAACAAAAACACAAGGTTATCTCTCATATTGTAGGAACATGAATCATGTACACTAATGTCAGGGCATTAGGCAGAAAACTATGAGATAAAGCTCAATTCCAAAGCAAAGCCAGAGAGAGGGGAAAAAAGGACGGGGTTATGGAACAGCTGGACTTCTATGAACGCTGGAATCCATAGCTAACCTCAGAACTACGAAGAGAAACAGTTAACGCCGCAACCTGGAGACCACTCCAATCCCGAAGCAATCCACTCGGGAAGTGACTGGCGTGGTAGTTGTCCCAGCAGCTGAAACTTGCGCTACAAAGCGAGGCTCTTTGGAAGAAAGACTAAAGACAAATTATAATTTATGCTTTGAAATGATAAGAGATTTCAACTGTCACATTGTTTTTGTTAAGTAGTCTATTTCTAGTTGAAAAAAGCAAGTGGATCAGATAAGGAGTGGGAGGATAGAAATGACATTTTAAAATACTGGAAAATATTTCCATATCCAACCATATGGCATACTAGATATCCTGAAAAATCCTCCTGCTCAAATCACCTAGCTAAATACAACAGAACAAAGATCTTGTACAGTCATATTTCAACAATGAAAGAGAAAGAGAAAAAAATGAAAGACAGGAAGGGAGAGAGATGGGGCAAGGGAGGAGGAGAGACAAAGGGAAGCGACTACAGATGCCAAGAGTGAGAAAACAACAAGCCTAGCAGGGGCTGCATCCCTCATTCATCTCATGCTGATCTGAGCACCCCAGAGTATTCCACTTTACTAGCCTGAAGAGATAAGGACAAAAACATTAAACCTGTTTAAGAAAAGAACAAAAAAGCAAGACTCTAATAGTGTTACCATGAAGAGCAACAAGAAGACCCTTCCAGCAGAGCTGGTGTGGAGAGGTGGTGGTGGACGGTGGGAAAGAGCAAAACTCCTCTGTGAATTCCTGTACAGGGATTTGCTCTCAAGCAGGTTTGCGGTTTTATTGTATTTTCTCTGTGGTACAAGCTCCCCAAGCCAGAAATTAACATAAAATTGGACTTTGCTTGAGAACAACCCTGGAGCACTAGGCAAAAGCAAATATAGAACCTCTACAGAAACATGTCCACAACCTCAGCCAAAGGGGCTATCTACTGACAAAGGCGTAATAACAGGACTTCGTCAACCAGCATTACGAAGCATAGGATGAAAGGAGAAAACACAGAGAGACACCGAACTGTCAAAGTAGACCATCAATAAATTCAGGTAACGGAATTTCCATTGCCTAAAATACGAAACTGACACAAAGTATCCTTAAAACACATACACATAAAGTGGTATGAAAACATCAGAAAAAAATTTATTCCATAAAAAGAGAAAGTATATTTGAAAAATAACCCATTTAAACAACACATAATTAAGGTAGTGAAAAATTAAAAATTCAATGGACAGACCGAACATCAGGTTAGTCCCAGATGGAGCCAGGATAATAAAACACAATAATATCTGAAGAAAGTATTCAGAATGTAAAACATAAAAAAGAAGAAAAGTAAGATAGTATAAAAGATATGAAGAATCAATGAGATAATCTAAAATACACTAAACAGAAGTTCCAGAGAAGCAAAAGGGGCAAAAGATAATTTTCAAAGGCATTCTGGCCAAAAAATATAAGACCTCATCAGAGCAATGAATCTTCTGATTTCAGCAGGACGATAAATTCTGGAAGAAGAAAAACGACATGAGAAAAAAGGTCTGAGATGCAAGAAGGAAAGGTCAACAAAGAAACAGATACAACTGTCAGTATACAGGCATTCTAAAACCATCGTAATAATAAGTAGAAACATTTTAAAAACAAGTAAAAGAATGGAAAACAAAACCATGAAAGATTGAAAAAAGGTCCTAAAAGTCAAAGGTCCCCAAGGCCAGTGAGTGTCTTTCGAAGGCACAATAAACTAATAACTGCTGGTTCTTCCATCAAGAATATTTGTTAAAATTTGAAGCAGAACCACAAAAAGTATTTAAAAATCTGTAACACCCAGATAACAGAAAAAATATCAGTTAAAAAAGTGTTTAATCAATACAAAATGTTAGTCAGAGAAGGAGCAAAACCTCAACAATAGAAAACCAGGGTAAATAATGTGTAAGGAATAATAAAAATAAATCCACATAAAATGGATATGCTTTGGCAATAATAAAGCAATGAACAAGGCAGAACTATACAATAGAGTCTTTTTTTTTAAAAAAAAAAGGCACAATCAAGCAAAAGAAAGCAGAATAAAAGAAAAAAGTTCACAAATAGATGGGACAAATAGAAAAAAATGGAAATATGATGGATTTAAATCCAAACATATTGATAATTAATTAAATATAATTGGTGTAAATGTTCCAGTTAAAAGGAAGAGATTGTTCACTGGATGTAAAGGATTGTTAACTGGACCCGAAAATAATGATGTCAGCAAGGTGAGCCTGAACTACTGAAAGGCTGACTCCCAGCTCGCAGAGCAATCTTTCCATGGCATCCATGGCGTCTCCCAGGAGACGAAGGTCGGCCACAGCATCCTCTTCCACCTGGAGGCTATGCCCATGTAAGACCATTCCCACAAAGACACCTCTCAGCCCTGAAGCAAAGGGCCGTATCAGGTGTTAGAAAGAACCCTGTGCTGGTAATCTTCAGGGTACTGACAGCTGGAGTCATGTTTCTCATTTAAAAAGCACACCCACATCTGAGAGGTCATCTAGCCCATTGGAGATCTGAAGCTGAAAAATCTCTAAGCAACCCAGGACCACCACTAGAATCTTCTCTCCCAGACTGAGGCTCCATCACCTGGTGTGGATGGCTCTCCCAAGACCTGGGACCAAGGCCAGAACACGATTCCCCCTGGCAGCCCTTGGACTTGGGTCTTCCCTTTGACTACCTGTGTTTCATTTACTGATTATATTTCTATCATAACCTAAGTTTTGTTTCCTGAACAAACTCCTCAGAAAACATTCTTCCTTTCCTTTCCTGTTTAGCACAATCTGGACTCTTACTGAATACTTGTCTGTTTTGTAAACATGAACAGTTCAGACAGAATCTTGGGTTTAGCCCCTTTAAAAATGTGTAACTGTACTCCTTCGCAGGACGTAGATGGCCATGGATGAGTTCACACCTCGATGGGCCATGAGTGACTACAATGCCACTTCTTCCCTTGTGTCTCAAATGTGGGCGGAAGTTCAGGGAATAAGGCCACTCAGTCCTGGGGAGCAGAGATCCTTCTGCTCCCAAATACCACCCGGGGACTAGATAAAAATCTGGTATTTGGCAGAAAACAAATGAAATCTCTTAGGGCATCCCAGCCTGAAAACGTGGAGCAATCAAACCCATGCTAATCTTTCAATTCTGGCCCAAATGTACAAAAGCTCAAGTGCTCTTTTAATCACTCTCATGGTAAATCACATAATGGCTTTACTGTCCCGTGTTGGGACTATTGTGACCACCGAGCATCTGCATAGCATGAAGTCCCTGCCTCAGGAACTGGACTTAATCCTTCCCTCGAGCCTGGAGTGAACGGCCTAATTACATGCTATCACTTAAGGGCACTGGGTATTTCTTCTTATGTGGGGCCCAAATATATGTCAACTTGCTAGTCAATGGCAAGACAGACACGGCATTGTCCTGTTAGCAGCTAATGCTGTCACCGAAAGTCTCCTTCCTCTGCCGTAATCCCCAACACAGGATTTCTGCCCATCAACTTCGACTGCAATGAACCCAGGGGAACTGATATTTGGGGTGTGGTCTTTTCGGTACTCTCTCCACCCCAAGCCCCGTAACGTATCAGTGATTAGAAAAGTAAGATCGACTGCTCTCTGTTCCTGGTGCCCCAGGACGTATGTCCTACAATTCAAAAGTAAAGAAAAATGTCTATCTCAGGGATGAGAAGTGCCCCTAAGGAAAAACTATAATGGAAATACCGGGTAGTAATATTTAGATTCATGATTTAAGCTGTATTTCAGGAGACTCAGCGAGTACAAAGTAAGAAATCATCACCCTAATTTCAGGGCACAAGTAATGGGATATTGACCTGAATATACAATACCTACAGCTTTAATAGGATTTTTTTTACAATCATAATATAAATAATGTTATATTCCAAATATTTTAAAACATTATTTTTATAAAGTGTGTATGATCGTTTAGAGTAATAAAAGATAGGAAAATATTGCCATGAATTTACATATTGTTCACTGAGCATGAACAATATGCTAAGTATAATGCAAAAGAAACTAAATTAAGTTGCTGCTGACATGATAGCATAATTTTCATCCTAAGCATAGATACAGGATGCTGGGTATAGAGCAATATAAAAATAGTCAGTAAACATTACAGACCATATTTATTATTTAGGATAGATAACAGTAACATGGAGAGAATTCTACTTAATAATTACAAATTAATTTGAAATAGCAAATAAGGCCAAATAAATGGGAAAATCATCTTTCTTAATACAGTCAGTTACAAAACGCTAATTTTCAAAAAAATATTAGCTCTGTTAATGTCTTATCATTTATGATTTCATGAAGTTTTATTTTTATTACTAAATTCCCTAAATGTGTGTCGGGAGGGTGGGGGTGATGTGTTTTTTAAATAGCTAAGGTGCTTAATTACATCTTATATATCAGTTCATTTTTTTTCTTATTTCCAGCCTCACATAACGTACCTTCAATAGCCTTCTGGAAGGTTCACAACTATGGTCTATACATGGCTTGGGTATTTTTTCAGTGTCTAAAGATGAAACTGAGAAAACATATTATATTTTATCATAGGTCTAATGTACCATATCACAATATTTAAATTGGCTTTTGAACTATAAAAAAGATCATCTAATATTTCTCCTCCACTAAAAAATTAAGCAATTTTCCTAATGTTAAAGCGCTCTTTTCAGTTAAAAAGAACTAAGCCAAAGATTTGTTTTATATACATCAGGAAAACCTCACAATTACAATGGACTTAAGAATTAATCAACTTTCTTGACAGTGAATGTTTGGCTATTGATTTCATGAAATTTCAACAACAGACTAATTTTAACTTTTGCAACATATATGTGTATTCATTCAACATTCTACTTAACGCTACCCACACAATACAGCACGCGTCACTGGCCAACTCAACTCTTACTCACTGTAAGTGATCAACCCCAGTGATGATGCTGAGAAGGGAATGGAGCTGGGCTGTGGCAGCAGCCGTGGCGACTGAAACCATGAACGCATTCCCCCACGCAGGCTGCATGAACCCATTTATCTAACAAATAGTTATCGGGAGTCCCCTACGTATCAGGAGTTATCCCAGGTGTCTAGGACATGTGAGTGATCAAAACTGACAAACGCTATGCCTTTTTGGAAATTATATTCTAATGCAGGGAAAGGGACAATAACAATAAACAATAAACAGTACATAAAGATATTGCATAAAAAGGTGATAAGTACTAGGGTTAAGAAGAAAGAGCAAGGAAATAAATACTGGGATTGTAAGATAGTGATGGGTTACAATTTTAAATTGGGTGATAATTAATAATATTAAAGCAAAAAAGTGAGGGAGGACCGAGTTGCCCATGAGATGAGATAGTGTGGCTTCTCCAAGTCAGACGCATGCATGGGATGGTGGAAGGACAGCAAGCAAAGGAGATGAAGTCACATGAGGCCATACTGTGTAGGCCACGATAAGCTTTGGTTTGGTTTCATTTATATTCTGAGTGACAGGCAGGCATTACAAGATTTCTGGAAGAGGAACAATATGGAGGGTAGCATGACAGATTAAATTGTCTGGCCCTGATGTTTCACCCTCTATGCTCCCACACCATTGCCATGGCCCGTGTGTGGACAAAGGATCATCCCACGACAACGGGGTTGGGCATGTGACTCGCCAGTGGCAATGGAGAGAAGTGAAGGCATGCTAATTTGGGGTCTTGGACTTAATATGTTTTCAGTTGCCCTCTTGGGCTTCTCTTATCACCATGAGCAGAGCTTCCCACTGGGGGGGGCTGCTGCCACTTCAGACATGCTCCTAGAATAAAGACACCTGGACACAGACAGCTAACGAAGCAAAGCTGGACCAACAACATGACAGAGCAGCACCTGAGTCCAGCCTAGACAGAGTCAACCTCCAAACAGCTATGCTCAGAAAGCTAAAGAAAATAATGGACAAAAAAACAGAGAAAAATGATGCCTCACAAAATAGAGAATATCAATAAAGAGAAAGAACTTATAAAAAGGATCCAAACAGAAATTCAGGAACTGACAATTACAACAACTAAAATAAGGAATTCACTAGAGGGTTTCAATAACACACTTGATCTTATGGAAGAAAGAATCAGTGAACTTGAATATAAGTCCACTGAAATTATCCTGTCAGAGGAGCAAAAAGAAAAGGAATGGAGAACACCTAAGAAATCGGTGGGACATTGAGTGTATCAACATATGCATAAGGGGAAGAAAAAAAATAAGGGACTGAAACAATACCTAAAAAAGAAGTCCAATAATGTCCCAATATGATAAAATACATGAATCTACATATCCAAGATGACGAATGAAATTCAAGTAGAATAAATGCATAGAATAAATTCAATACTAAAACATATTATAATCAAATTGTTGAAAATCAAATACAAAGGGATAATTTTGAAAGCGGCAAAAAAAAAGTAACTCATCACATACTAAGAGTCCATAAGAAGATTAAAAACAGATTTCTAATCAAAATCCATGGAGGTCAGAAAGTAGTGAGAAAACATATTTAAAGTATTAAAAGAAGAAACTTTAAGCCAAGAATACTATATATGGCAAACTAACCTTTTAAAATACAAAGAGAAAAAAACATTCCAAACACAATGTTTGGGACATTACACATGAAAGAAAACAAACAGTAACTTGATGCTACACAACGAAATGAAGAGTAGTAGTAAAGTTAACTAATAGGTAAATATAAAAGCCAGTACTGTATTTTTTATATTTGTACTCAACTTTCCCCCTATGTGATTAAAAAGACAAATGTCTAGGACAATAATTACAAATCTATTAGTGTACATACACACATCATAATGTGATTATTGACAAAAACAGCAAGTGGAAAAGCTGCACAGGAGCCGAGTTTGGGTGTGCTGTTCCAACTACGTTGGTATTAACTAATTCATGTAACGTTATATGTTTAAGATGTTAATTGTAAAAAGGAACTGCTCCAACCTAATGAAAACCTTTTATGAAAAACTTAGTTAATATCATATTCAATAGTGAAAGACGAGCTTTCTTTTCCTCCTAAGATCAAGACCAATTCCTGTATGTCTAAAATTTTGCCACTTCTATTAAAAAGTATACTGGGTCTTGCATCAAGAGCAATTTGGCAAGAAAAAGAGATAAAAGTTACCAAATGAGAAAGAAATTAGTAAAACTATTGCTATCCTTAGGTGACATGATATTCCCTATAGAAAATACTAAAAATCCCAAGTATAAATAACACTAGTAGAACAAAAAATTCAACCACAAGTCAGAATACACACAAATTCGATGAACATTCACAATACACACCACAATGAGCAATGTTAGAAAGAAATTAAGAAATAATTGCACTTACAATAGGATCAAAAAGAATAAAATACGTAGTAATAAATTTATCAAGAGGTGCAAGATTTATATACTGAAAAGTACAAAATATTGATGAAAGAAATTAACAAAGTGTGTTACAGTGTGAATGTTTATGTCCCCCGCAAATTCATGTTGAAATCCTAGTGCACAATGTGATGGTGTTAGGAAGTGGGGTCTTTGGGCGTGCTTAGGTCACGAGAGAGGAGCCTTCACGAATGGAATTAGTGATCTTACGAAAGTGGCTTCAGAGAGAATCCCAGCTCCTTCTGCTATGTGAGGATGTAATTTTAATTCTGTAACTCTGCAGAGGGCCCTCACCAAACACGCTGACACCCTGATCTCAGAACCCCAGCTGCTAGCACTGTGAGAAGGAAACGCCCCGTGGCTTATAAGCTACCCAGTCTGTGGTAATTTGTCACAGCTCCAATGGACTAAAACCAAGTCCTCAAAAAATGGAAAGAAATCCATTTCTTTATATTTAAGTGTTAATATGTATGGTGTTATTTATATTTATATTTAAGTGTTAATAAGTATGGTGTTAATATTGCCAAGGTGGTAATACTATCAAAGCTATCTACACATTCAATGCAATCCCCATCAAAACCCAATGGCCTTCGTTGACAGAAATGGGAAAAAAGGCACTAAAAAACATAGTATTGCACTGACTTCAAAAGCAAAAATAAGGGCTGGCTGAGTGGCTCAGTTGGTTAAGAGCTCGCTCAAGAGTTTGAGCTCTGAGCAACAGCGGTTCGAGTCAGCCCGAGCTGAGCAGCC